TCTAGGACCTTGTTTTTAATCTCCTTTTATACACAGGGTGTATTATTATCTTGTTAATAGATTATCAGAAATTTTGAATGAAAGTTCTCTCCCAATAGTATTTGCTTTAACTTGGGATTTTACTTCTAAGAGTGAAGCCTACTGAGCTTACTTGCGCGGAAAGGGATGGGTCTCTGTGGCCACTCAAGATAAAAGTAGTCCCAAAGAGGGCATTCAGGTGACCATAACCACTGGCCTGAAGGGTCCTATGTGAAATCAGGCACCTGATCACCCTCCAGGGTCCTGATATCAAGACCCTGACACAAACACTAATAAGCCTCAGGTTCTAACGCTTTCTGTTGCTTATAACAGAATAGCTGAAACTGGGTGATTTGTAAAGAAACAATAGGCCAGGTGTGGTGGCTCATGCCTGTAATCCTAGCACTCTGAGAGGCCAAGGCTTGAGGTCAGAAGTTCGAGACCAGCCTCAGCAAGAGAATGTGAGACCCTGCCTCTACTAAAAAAAAAATTAGAAAAAATTAGCCGGGCATGGTGGCACATACCTGTATTTCCAGCTACAAGGGAGGCCTGAGGCAGGAGGATTGCTTGAGCCCAGGAGTTTGAGGTTGCTGTGAGCTAGGCTGACCCCACAGCACTCTAGCCTGGGCAACAGAGTGAGATTCCCTCTCAAAAAAAAAAAAAAAAAAAGAGACAAAATTTATTTATTACAGTTATGGAGGCTGAGAAATCCAAGGTTGAGGGGCCGCATCTAGTAAGGACCTCTTGCTAGTAGGGACTTTCTACAGAGTCCTGAAGCAGCACAGGCTATCACATGGAGAGGGGCTGTGGGTGCTAATGTGCTAGCTCAGTGTTAGGTTTGCTCCAGGTGGGAACCCGAGAAGTATGTCTAGGGCAGAATGTGGCTAATACGAAACTTGGGCTGCTAACACAATAGCTGCAGGATCTGGAGCGTCCCGGGCTTCGCGGCTCTGGCAGCCGCACTGCTTCCCACGCGCTCCCTGCTGCAGATGGAGCTGTCCCTCCCAGCTCTCCCGATCAGGACGGGAGCAGAAGGACGACGCCTGGGGCAGAGGGTCTAGGAGTTGGTTGTTGGAAGAAGCTTTGGCTGCAAACAGCTGCTCTGCCCGCTGTCCTCTGCCGCCGCAGCAGGGAGCGACTCTTCACCTGCCAGTTTGGCCCAGAAACAACCGAACAGGCAGGGGGCAGGGGGCAGGGGGCAGGGGGCAGGGGTCGGCTGTCCCCGTTTATAAAACCCTCACTAAACCCCTTCCGTGCTGACTTCTTCTCGGACTCAGCCCACCCACGCCCCGCCCGGGTGAATACCCAGCCGCGTTGCTCCCACGCAGCCTGTGTGACACGTGTCCTGTGGCCCATTCACCTGTCACTGGGGTCTCTCTTCCTCTTCTTCTAAAGCCACCAGTTCCCCTTCCTTGACAACCCACTAATCCATCAGCTCAGCAGCACAGTGACATGAGGGGTGGCACCGGTCACGAGGGCAGAGCCGGCGACCCAACCCCTCGCGAAGGCCCCACCTCTCCACACCACGCGGGGGACGGGGTTTGCAGGAGTTTTGAAGGGGACATTCAAACCATAGCAGAGGGTAACTGGATTCAGTGTTGGTGTGATTTCCATGTGATTTACAGTCTTTCAGGTCTTCTTCTGGTATCTGTAAGAGCACCAGAAAAGACTCTTTAAAATCTCTGAAATCTCACTCCGAGCTCACCTTCAGCTGGCTGCAGCAGGCCCATCTTTTCTCAGGGCAAACAGACAATTTCAAGGGGGTGTCAGAGGGGAAGATTTGGATAGAATTGATTAACCCCAACTACTAGATGTACTTTTTCTGACTAGCAACATTTCAGGGCAGCATTGTCAATATTTTCCCCCCAACTTTCTGGATATGATGATGCACGGACATCTTAAAAAACCTTTCTGTCTGGGGAGAGACTGCCCCTCTGGGGCTAGCCAATGCCTAAGAGATGGCAAAGTGCCCAGCCAGGAGCATGCATTGATTTGCAAACTAGTCAATCCAGACCCAAACCTCCCCTATCCGGCCTGTATACCCCCAGGAAGCAATATTCCTCTGCCTCAATCATCCCAGGGTCAGATGCCAGGGAACTAAGGACCACCCCTGTAGCCCAGAGCCCACAGAAATCATTCAGACTAGCCAATCGTAAACGTCCTCCTGCCCTGACTTGACTCTTTCCTAGGAACCCCCATACAGACAGTGATATAAACCCTCCCCTTGCTCCTGACTTCTGCCTCCTGGTGTCTTTCCCATGTGGCCCTGCATGGCATGCTGTGCCTCCTGTCTCTAGGATCTGTGAGTGCAATAAACGTCGTCTTTTCCTGAGACTCTCCTCCGTCTTCTCCTGTAGCCGCACCTCCCTGAGTGTCACATAAAAAAGTACAAAAGCCAGGCACGGTGGTGTGTGCCTAGTACCCAGCTCCTCGGGAGGCTGAGGCGAGAGTATTGCTTGAGGCCAGGAGTGTGAGGACTCGGTGTGCTGTGAGCACCTCTGACTAGCCGCCAGACTCCAGTGTGGTGGACACAGGAAGACTCTTAAAAAACAAACAAACATACAAACAAACAAAAACACAAAACAGCAGATATCCCAGCCCCTCCATATTTTCACAAGGTATAGCAAGACCAGTATATCACAGGCTAGTGTAGCCACAATAGGTGAGGGAAAAAGAGTGGTTCCCCTGCCATTTGGTTGTGTGATTAGAACATGGCCCTTCGTCTTGTAGAGGCTACCAGCCTACCTGTGACATTCTTGGCCGTAGCCAACATGTGTCAGGTGGGCCTCTTGTTCTTCCCACTCGTATTTAATACATATTCCTGAAGAATCTGCTTTCCCATCCCTTATTAAGAGAATTTGGCATCTTCTCACAGGGAATTTCCAAGATGTCAATGTACTCTGGTGATTACCAGGGCTGTCCGAAAAGTATTCTGCCATTGAATACTATTTTTCATATTACATGGCTGGACAGCCTTCATATATAACATTGATAATCATGGTACCCTGACTGTAGGCTATGTTTTCAAGAGAGGACAAAGCCCCCGATTGGTATTTGATAGTTAAAACAGCAGGTAAGGATGAACCCCTGGGCTTTGCTGTTTTTTTTTTTTTTTTTTGAGACAGAGTCTCACTCTGTTGCCCGAGCTAAAGTGCCATGGCATCAGCTTAGCTCACAGCAACCTCAAACTCCTGGGCTAAAGCAATCCTCCTGCCTCAGCCTCCCGAGTAGCTGGGACTACAGGCACACACCACCATGCCCGGCTAATTTTTTCCATATATTTTCAGTTGGCCAATTAATTACTTTCTATTTTTAGTAGAGATGGGGTCTCGCTCTTGCTCAGGCTGGTTTGAAACTCCTGACCTTGAGCCATCCACCCGCCTTGGCCTCCCAGAGTGCTAGGATTACAGGCGAGTCACCATGCCTGGCCGGGCTTTGCTCTTGATGAGCTTCCAATCCTACTAACCAGCCCACAGATGCTGGGCTGTCGGTGCTCTGCTGGGTGCCCTAGATGTGGGCAGGGGTGCCGGAGGCTACTGGTGGTCCAGTGGTCCTATCAATACTCCCTTTCCTCTGGCCAGTCTGTCTTAGGCAAGTTTTCTAACCTGTAGCCTTGTTGCATGGAACACTGGTGGGCATTGGCCATCACTATTAAGACAAAACATTATCAATATTTGTTGCTAATAGAAAAACATGTCTGGCCTTGTTTGATGGAATTGGGAAAGGGCTATGATTATCACCAATGCCCTACATAACGCTGCAAGCAGAGTGCTGCATCTGGTCCAAACTTTGATTTTGGCAGAGGACAGGAAACCATCTCACAAGAGGAGTGACTTGGATGAGATCTCCACAGGCTTGGGCTCTCACCTTCTCTTCCATTTGTCATGGTATGATTTAGGACAGACAACGGACCTTCCCACCACTGGCCTCGATTTGTTTGTTCTTCCTAGCTGGGGCAAGAGTTGGGGAGATAGAGGATACCAGAAAATGCCAAAGGTTGGGTTAAAGCAGTGATGTGACCAAGAATGCAACCTACCTCCAGTGAAGGAGAAACAGTCACTTCCTCTCTGCTTCGGGGAGGGGCCAGATCAGGTGACTAGAACTGTCCAGGCCTAAAGGTCTCATAGGACACCTGCTCTCCACCTGTCAGCTATGCTCCACATTACCTTTTCAATGAGAAGTCTATCACGAATATTAATTCTGTGAGTTCTTATTATGCACCTGTGGGTTTGTGGGAATGATGCCAAGGGATCAGGGGAACAAAGAGGGAGGATGCTTCTCAGGTGTGGGGGCTCAGCCTGGATGGCAAGGGGGAGACACAGCTCCAGTTGGCCTGCCAGCCTGGTGAGAAGGGGAGAGAGGAAAGGGACCCAGTGTGCCAGCTGTTTTCAGCTGAGGCCAAAAGCATCAATGAGGGAGACAGAGACCAACTTGGCCCAGCTCCCCCGCACTGGGGCGAGGTTGTCAGGCTGGAGGGCCTTTCCTCAGAGCAAGTCAGCCACCTGCTCCTTCTGCATGGGGTGAACCTGGGATTTGAGCTGCATTACCCAGGAGGGTTTCCAAATCCAGAGGAAATGTGACTTCCCAATGACAGAGGTGACTTTGTTGGCTTTGGATCAGTGGTGGTGGGGTGCTTCCTGACATTATCTGGTGGGGACTCCAGAGACAGCCTCCTGTGGCTCCAGTTCCATTACATTCCCTCTGTCACTATCTCATTTAGGATCTGGTTTTACATGTAAGATGCACTGGTAAGTATAGCAGTTGTTCCTCTTAGACAAATGTCTGAGGCAGGAGGGGTAAATATAACCTTCCACGGCCTTGGAGCTGCTGGTGGAATGAATCCTCAGGCCAGGCAAGTGCACGCAAGTGGGTGGGGGGTAGATGTGCACAGAGTCTGCCTTCTAGTTGGAATTTCCCCCTCCCTTGGCAGTAAAGATCTGATTTCCCCTTTTTCCAGGCAGATCAACGCAAGAGACAAACTATTTAGAAACTAAAAGCCTCAATAGTTTATTTCTTGTTTAAAGTATGGCCAAATGGTTTTATTGCATTTACTGCTCCTGGACATGTAGACGCATCTACACAGAAACAGTAATCGTACTTATAAAATTTTTTAACTTTCTTATTGAGTTCGGGGCAAAGGCTTCTTGATGTGAAAATTATGTGGCTGACAAGAGCACCAGGCACCTTGCATTCATTTACCCAGGCTTCCTGCCCATGGTGGGATCTGATGTACAGAAGTACAAAATACCTACCTGGGTGTGGCTTTCAGATTCAGCCACTGCTATGTTACAGCCTTGGTGCCTCCTCATTGCTGGCCCAGGTTGACACAACCAGTCTTCCAGGAACAGTAAGACCACATTTTTGATTGCTTGAGGTTTCACTACCAAAGGTCTCCCGCAGTCCAGAACTCCACTTTAAAGACTTAAGATCATCCGTGCAGAGGATACCAGCCCTGAGTGCAGACGCGTGGGGCCGAATCTGCCTTCAGTGGAACCGTGAGCAGCTAACTGGTTGTAATGACTTATGCGAATCGGTAATGACAGCACACTGAAGGGTTAACTGGAGTTGTCGGTTGAATTGTGTACCCCTAAAATTCCAATGTTGAAGCCCCGATCCCTAGTACTTGAGAATATGACTTTATTTGGAAACAGCCACTGCAGATGCAGATGTAGATGAGGTTATACTGGAGTAGGTAGGGTGGGCCCTAATCCAATATGACTGGTGTCTTTATGCAAAAGGGAAATTTGGAAACAGACCAGCCACGGTGAGAGCACCATGTAACAATGAAGGCAGAGATTGGGCGATGTTTGTACACACCAAGGAACACCAACAATTGCCAAGAAAGCACCCGAAGCTAGGACATAGAGTAGGTTCTACCTCAGGGCCCTCAGAAGGAACAAACTCTGCTGACACCTTGTCCTGGGACTTGTTGCCTCCAAAACTACGGAACAATTCATTTCTGTCATTCTAAGCCACGTGGTGTTTGGTACCTTCTTACAACATCCCTAGGAAACTAACACAATGGGTACTCCAAGTGTCTACAGAGTAGGAAGTCATGGAAGATTCTGTTCAGGGCTTGGCTCACCCAGACAGAACCCTTCATTAGGAGCTGGGCTCCATATTCCTAGACAGGACAGAGTGGGAGGAGGGATTTAAGTGCCTTTTAAACGATGACAACTCCATTTCCATCCCACAAGCATTCGCCAAGGGCCGTCAGGGTACAGAGACAAGAGACGTTTTAGGGAGGGTGTGCAACATAATTTAAACCCAAGCTCTGCCTTCCATGAGCTCCTGCTCCTGCACCACCGGCCGCCAAGGCAAATCAAAAGGCATGACAAGCTTCCCAACCTCAAGGAGCTCTGGGGCTTCCCACCATGGACTCCAGCCCAAAAGGGCCACCTGATAATCTCGGGGTCTGCGCAGTGCTCCTCGCCCGGGGGCCTGGTGGCCAGGGACCTGGGCTCAGACTTCTGTGCCCCGGCATGGCTATTGTGCTTGGCACTGCTCCCCACTGCGCCTACACGTCCTCCTGCCCATCACCCTGCAGCAGCCGCTCTCACCTTCAGAATCCCAGGCCGTGTTTGGCAGGGTAGGACGGGAAGGAGTGTGCTGAGGGTTGGCTGGTGACCAACGGGTTGCTGCCACAGGGGTGATGCAGTCCACTCGTGGAGCTTTGAGAGCATTTGGCAGGTGTCCCTAAGACCCGACACACCTGGCACGCTGAAGCTGGTAGTGACACACCTCCCTGTTTTTTGGCACAGCAGAAACAAAACCGACTGTCTAGTGGCCACGCTCTCGTCACCTGTGGGGAGGGAGGGGACTACCATGGCACCACACGAAAGCTGGACACTACCTGAGAGCAAAGGGCAGGAGGAGGTGTGCCCTCTGCCTGGGGAGGCGCGGCGGGAGGGCGACCAGGGAAGCACCTGCCCAGAGGGCCGCGCCAGGCGCGCGCTCAGTAGGAGTTCAGGGCCTGCTTGGACCGGCGTTTCATGTGCAGGCGCTCGTGGCGGAGGAGGTCGCAGTTCTGCTTGAAGCTTTTGACGCAGTACCGGCACTGAAAGGGCCGGGCTTTGTCCTTCGGGTGCAAGCGTCTGCGGTGCCGGAGCAGGTGGTCGTGCCGCGGGAACGCCTTCCCGCAGTCGCAGCACTGGAAGCTCGGCTTGGCCTCGCCCTTTCCCGGCGGGCGATCCTCACCGGCCTCCGAGGGCCCCTGTTCCCTCTTCTGCACCTGCTCGAGTCCGTCCGGCGGCAGGTGTATCCGCCGATGCGACAGCAGGTGGGAGTTGAGGCGGAAGCTCTTCCCGCAGGCGCCACACCGGTAAGGCTTCTGGGCCTCGTGGGTCTCCAGGTGCCCGTCCAGGTCCTCGCTGTCACTGAACAGCTCCCCGCACACCGAGCACTCGTGCGGCTTCTCCCGCTCCCGGCGGCTCCGCAGGTGCCGGATGAAGTTGACTCTCCAGCGGAAGATCTTCCCGCAGTTCGGGCACACGTAGGACTTCCTGGAGGAGGCCTGCGCTTCGGGCCCCGCCTCGGCGCTGCCCCGGCGCGGGGCGGGGCTCCCGCGCTCTTCAGGGCAGTACGGGCTGTGCCGGGAGTCCTCGTCCCCAGAGCTGGACAGGACAATCTCGATGGTCACCTCCTCCTCCAGGCTGTGCTGCAGGGATGGTGGGTCGCCTCCAGCTACAGGAAAGCACGGTGCAGGTTAGTGGCCCTCCACCCGGCCCTTAGGAATCTGACCCAGGAAGGTTCCGCACGGAGTCCGGAAACCCACGCTTTTGCGACGCTCCTTGGTGACCAGGGCTGGACGTCCAGCCAGTCCTGCAGGGGCCACTGCTGCAGCCCGAGAGAAGGAATTCTTAGCATGGGCCATGTTGTGTCCAAAGCAGCCTGGGGCCTCTTTATCCTCTTGCTCCCTCTTCCTGGCCATTCCTCCCTAAGCCCCACCCGGATCCTTTTATTCCCTAGCCACTGAGAACCACCTCCCCCGCCCCTCAAGCCCTAAGAGTCTGTATTTGTCTGTGTAAATCTTTGACCACTTACACATTATCTATTGCCCCCTTACTTAGCCAGGTATAGGGAAAAACTCTATCGGGATATGTTAAAGTACTTGGGAGAGAGGGAGATGCTACATTCTATACATGGAGTTCTAGGAAGGTGCCAGCTACCATGCTCTGCACACTTAAATGCTCCAGGGACTCTGCCAGACTTCCCACATGCACAGCCCCATTTGCTCTTGGATATTTTTTTTTTTTTTTTTTGAGACAGAGTCTCGCTTGTTGCCCAGGCTAGAGTGAGTGCCGTGGCGTCAGCCTAGCTCACAGCAACCTCAAACTCCTGGGCTCAAGCAATCCTACTGCCTCAGCCTCCCGAGTAGCTGGGACTACAGGCATGTGCCACCATGCCCGGCTAATTTTATATATATATATTAGTTGGCCAATTAATTTCTTTCTATTTTTATAGTAGAGACAGGGTCTCGCTCAGGCTGGTTTTGAACTCCTGACCTTGAGCAATCCGCCCGCCTCGGCCTCCCAGAGTGCTAGGATTACAAGCATGAGCCACCACGCCCAGCCTGGATATTATTATTATACCACATTAGACACACAAACAAACTGAGGGGATCTGCCTCAGGGAGGAGGGCTGCAGTGGTACTCAAGCCCTGCTGGGCTGACATTAAGGCTGCTGCTGCCCAGGGTCACTGAGTGCCCCAGCATCTCCCCCTCTCAGTGTCACTGCACATCTGAGGCCCTCAGTGCTGATGGGTAGAGATGCTTCAGAATTTCTAACCAAGGCTGAAGCGGGCTCAGTGGATCCCCAGTCTGTGATGGTGGAAGGCGGTACCATGGGAGGGGTGAACAGGCAGCAGGGAGTCCAGCCTGAGGTCCTGACCTGTGGCCCATGACACTGGTGGCCTGTCTCCTCACTTTCATGAAATGTGGAACTCAGGTCTAGACCCTGGGGTGGGTAGGAAGGAGATGGGCCCTCCCAGATGTTAGTAAAAACATGGTTGGTCTTTGGTCTGGACTTACTGACTGGAGGGGGAGGGCGCTGGCAGGTTAGAGCAGCTTTGGGCAGGTGCAGCTGGACAGACAGAAGCAGGGCAGGAAAACCCAGAAGCTACAGAGAGCAGGAGAGAGGATGGGCAGTGGCAGAACCTGTGGGGGCATTTGTCCATTGGTCAGAAGGCAAAGGAGTGGGGTCAGGGAGAAGGTGAGACTGTGGAGCAGGCCAGGAGCCTGCTGAAAACCCATGCAGTGTCAGAGAGAAATCACCAGATGAGGCAGAGTGTGTTTCATGCTCATCTGTCCTCCTGGTTTTCTAGTTGCAGAGGCCTCGTTCCAGCCAGACGGCTTCTCTGAGCTTGGGTCACTTCATCTGTAAGGTGAGCATGTCACTGGCAGCCCATCGTTCCAGGTTGTTGGTGGGGTAACTGAGGTCCTGCGTGTGACGTACTCTGTGGGCCCCATAGGGTGGACAAGCTAACTTAACTAACTTTCATCAGCTGTCGATGAGAAGACACCCGACCAGCAATTCGCCTCTGTTAACTGTTAATGGATGTTGGTGGAGAAGGAAAAACAGTGCTCTGGTAGGCTGCTAAGACCTGGTCTGTTAACTGTGTGAGGAGCTGGAATTACAACAGCAGACAGGGCACGCTATGGGCTGAACTGAGCTGGCCTGAAAATTCCTCTGTCAAGTCCTAACCCCTAGTACCTCAGAATGGACTGTTTTTGGAGATGGGGTCTCCAAAGGGGGGAAGGGGGAAATGGGCATTTATTGAAATCTTAAAATCTGTACCCCCATAATATGCCGGAAAAAAAAAAAAAAAAAAAAAAAAGAGGCAGTCAAGTTAAAATGAGGTCATATGAGTGGGCCCTAATCCAGTAGGAGTGGTGTCCTTATAGGAAGAGGAAATTTGATGCAGACCCAGAGGAAAGACCATGTGAGAACACAGTAAGCAGCGGGCTATCTATAAGCCAAAGGAAAGGCTTCAGAAGAAACCAACTCTGCTGACAACTCAGTCTTGGACTTGTAGACTCCAGAATTGTGAAAAAATAAATTTCTATTGTTTAAGCCATGCAGTCCGTGCTACCTTGTTCTGGTAGTATTGGTAGACTAGTACAGACTTTGGCACCAGGAAGTGGGGAGCAGCTGTAACAAATAACAAAAAATGTAGGTGTGATTTTAGAACTAGGAAATGGGTAAAGGCTAGAAGAGTTTTGAGGTCCATGTTAAAAAAGAAAAGCCTTGAAGAAATGGTTGGTAGACACATGGACATTAAAGGTATGTCTAGGCCGGGCCTGGTGGCTCATGCCTGTAATCCTAGCACTCTTGAAGACTGAGTCGGGCAGATTGCTCGAGGTCAGGAGTTCGAAACCAGCCTGAGCAAGAGCGAGACCCCCGTCTCTATTATAAATAGAAAGAAATTAATTGGCTAACTAATATATATAGAAAAAATTAGCCGGGCATGGTGGCGCATGCCTGTAGTCCCAGCTACTCGGGAGGCTGAGGCAGGAGGATTGCTTGAGCCCAGGAGTTTGAGGCTGCTGTGAGCTAGGCTGACGCCACAGCACTCACTCTAGCCTTGGCAACAAAGTGAGACTCTGTCTCAAAAAAAAAAAAAAAAAGGTATGTCTGGTGAGAGCTCAGGCAGAAATGAGGAATATGTTATTGGACACTGGAAGAAAGGAGATCTTTGTTATAAAGTGGCAAAGAACTTGGCCAAACTGTATTCTGGTGTTTTATGGAAAGCAGAAATTGTAAGTAATGAATTTGCATATCTAGCTGAGGAGTTTTCTAAACAAAGTGCTGAGGCATTGCCTAGTTTCTCCTTGCTGCTTATAGTAAAATATAATAGGAGAGAGATAAATAAGGAAATCTTATGTAAAAAAGAACCAGGACATCAAGATTTGGAAAATTCTCAGCTTCTCCATATTGCAGAAACAAAGTGTATTCTGGAAAGAACACCAAGAGCATGACTGGAAAATCATTTGCTGAAGAGATAATGTGTACAACTCACGGATCCAATCAACCATCTCAGGAGCAGGCAGGAATACAGACAGGGTTATCCAGGAACAATCTAGGGAAGACTCCAGTCTGATGGCTTGGCTCCCGTGAACTGCACAGGAGGGCAAGGTTTTGAGAATTTTATACTAGCAGAAGCACTGCCAACTTGGACTGAAGGGAACAGAGATGGAATGAAATGAAGGAATGCTGTTGGACTTCCGGGATTTCACAGAACGGGCCAGTGGAGCTATCTGGCTGCGAACACGTATTATCCTTTGAGAAAAAGGAAGAATGATCCCAAAGGCAGCTCAGGGGTTTCAGGGCTGCCATTGCCATCACCGGTCAAGGGGGCACAGGCCAGGGGGTGGAGGCATCACCTTCTGACTTCCAAAGTCAGGGCTGCCACCCTGGTGGGCCTGGAAGGTGGTAACCTGGAGGACAAAACTGAGCCGAAGACTGTTCTTCCAAGGGAATTTGCCCTGCCGTAGGTTCTAGACTTGCTTGGGACCCATCACCCTTTCTTCTCTCCAGTTTCTCCATTTTGGAATTGGGTGGGGTGTTACCAAATTGACTGTCAGGATAATGTTAGGAAAGACAGGAAAGAGTTATTGATCCAAATGCCAAAACATATTAAATCACTTAATTTTTTATAGTAACTCTACAAGGCAGCTATAACCATTATCTTTGTTTTACAGATAAGAAATTTAAAGCAGAGAAATGAAGTTGCCCAAGATTTCAGAAGAACTGAGCCCAATGTGGGTGGAGGGCCAGAGCCTGTGGCCACAGGGTAGCAGGCAGCCAGGCTGCTGTGAGTGCCCACGGGGCGGGGTGGGCTAGTCTGTAGTGGGTGGAGTGGTAAAGGCCTGTGCCTAGGCCGTAGCTGACACCTCAAGAAGGGCAGTCTGTGGGCTGGAGATAAATGGTTTCCTGTGAGCTGGAGGGGTAGAGAAAAAAGCAGGAAGGATAGGAAGCTAGATGTGAAAAACCAAAATAATAAAGGCATTATTAAAAAAAGCATAGAATAGTCTTATAAAGTTAGGATGGGGAGGCTTTCATAAGCAAGACATAAAACCAAAAAGATGATGAATAAATGTATTTACATTTTAAAAATATAAAAAAACCACTTTTATATGCTACAAGAGCAAGACACATAAAGTTTTTTTTTTTTTTTTTTTGAGACAGAGTCTCGCTTTGTTGCCCAGGCTAGAGTGAGTGCTGTGGTGTCAGCCTAGCTCACAGCAACCTCAAACTCCTGGGCTCAAGCAATCCTTCTGCCTCAGCCTCCCGAGTAGCTGGGACTACAGGCATGCGCCACCATGCCCGGCTAATTTTTTTTTTTCCTATATATATTAGTTGGCCAATTAATTTTATTTCTATTTATAGTAGAGATGGGGTCTCGCTCTTGCTCAGGGTGGTTTCGAACTCCTGACCTCAAGCAATCCGCCTGCCTCGGCCTCCCAGAGTGCTAGGATTACAGGCGTGAGCCACCGCGCCCGGCCATAAAGTTTTTAAAAATCGGAGAAACTACGTGTAAAGACATAAGAGGAAACAGATTCACACCCATGATTTTCAGTTTCCATGAATCCACAGAAAAAGCAAAGTATGGTTCGGTCACATGCAGTAAAGACGTGGTGTGGAGCCTGGCAGACTGAGTCTGGACCCTTGCCCGCCACCCATGGCCTGTGTGCACTGTGAGCACTGGAGCCGGGCGAGTGACTTCAGCTTTTGGGGCCTCGGGTGCCCAGCTGCTGAGAGGTGCCGTCGCGGCACCCGTGTCAGAAGGTGCCGTGAGGACACGATGCACACAATCAGGCAGCACTTTGTGCTGGTGCAGAGCTCGGGGCATAAAGAGAGCTTCACCATGTGGCTGGGGGCTGGTCCCACGGCAGTGGGTTATCAGAACTTATAGAACCCCTCATTGCTAAATTTGATTGGCTTTAAAAAAAAAGAAAAACAAAAACACCCCCCCCAAAAAATGTGAGTGGAAAAATGCAAAAGAGAAAAAAAGGACAAATGAATATTAAATAGGCAATTCACAGAGAAAACACAATAAACAAAAAATAAATATTCCGCCTCAGTGGCAGACACAGTAACGTTTTCATCTGATCGGCACAAACTGAGCAGTTTGGGCGAGTCCCGTGTGAACGTGGATAGGGAGAGGCAGACGCTCGCTGGCTAGCGCCAGGCATGGGCTGGCAGGACAGGCCTTCGGAGGGTGAGCTGGCAGGAGCTGCCAAGTAAAAATGGTGCCTGCTCTTTGAAATCTATCATCTCTGCCCCTTCTCAGGTAGCAACCTTGGCTTCCCGCCACTGGAGCAGATCCTGTGTCAGGGCTCAGTAACAGGAGAACGGAGTTGAAACCCCCCTGTGTTAATGACATCCATCGACCTTCTGAAAGTACTCGGACAGGGCTGAGGGACATGCCACAAGCAGAGAGAGGCTAGAGAAGATTCCAAATGCACTGCAAACAGTAAGCCTGCATCCAACGGAGAGTGGGCCTCTCAGGCTCTTTAGAAAACCAGGGGTGGACATCCATGCTTGTGGGGAGGGGTCTCATCCTTTCAGATCTACCGCACCGTAAAAGCCCCTTTGTACACAACAGTGGGCTGAGCACAAATGGGTACATGCCCTGCACGGAGCTAGGTAAAAATGACACAAATCTTATCTTCAAAAGCATCACAGGTAAAAGAGATAATGTGTGTAAGTCAGTCTCCATAGCTGCAGAAAACCACAATGACACAGTGGGTTCAAGTAAGAATCAGAGAGTTGGGTTTGGTATTTAGAAGAATGCCTGAAACTGAGGATGTTATAAACAGCAACAATTTATAGTCTTTGCCTCTGGAGGTGGTGACTTTTACCAAGATGACTCAACGACGATACTGTGGCTATTTCCCTGAGGGCAGTAATGGAACACACACTTTCCAGAAGTTCCTTGCAGCTCTGGCATTCCAGAAACCTGCTGTTTAATTCCAGGACTCTGTTGCAGGATTCTGGCCATCCATGCTCGGGGAAGAAATGCACTCTCTACAATAGTGCTGCCTCAGCCCACCCAGGAAGGCAAGGAGGGAGAATGTGGGATTGGGAGTCAGCTGGAGAAAGACCCCAGCACAATAGAACCAGGGCAATAGTTGATAATGTCACAGGCAGGGTCAGCGGGGATCTCTGAGTTTAGCTCCTAAATGTACCCTGCCCCACCACTGCCACTACGCACACACCCTGCCCCACCACTGCCACTACGCACACACCCTGCCCCACCACTGCCACTACGCGCACACCCTGCACACCACAGACACACACCACCCTGCCCCACGTGCACTGTGCTGCACGTGGGGCCACACAGCACCACCCCTCCCCCACCACGCAGACACACCGCCTGTGAGTGTCCACACAGGCACACACGGCCCCACACGCCCCAGACCCTTCCTTACCTGGGCAGGTGCTTTGAGCCAGCAACGTCTGCTGGCAGGTCTGGAACTCTGGCACCTGCAGCTCGTCTTGTTTCCTTCTTTCTTCCACCTGGAAGGGCTGGAGACTTGGAAAGTCTGTCCAGAGGAGAAAACAGAAACGTTGATTTGTCTTGCACCGACAGCGCTATCTGGGGGAGATATCTGAAGGGATGCCAGGTTGTGATCCCAGGGTGGTCTTGAGCTTTCTCCTGGGGCCTGGCACAGGGTGGGCACTTAATAAGTGTTTGCTGAGTGTGAACTCGAAGGCAAAACGGGCCAGGTCCATGAACTCGGGTTCTGAAGCTAGACAGATCGATTCAGATCCTGGTTCTGCTCCATCTAACTCTGTGGCCAGAGACACATGACTGCCCCAAGCCAGAGGCTACTTCCACTGACTGTGGCAGGTTTTTCAGATGCCACTACAGGCAGATGCTCCACAGTGTGCCTGTGCAGACCCTATGGGGCAGAGATGGGACGGAAGCTACCACGCCCCACTGAGGCTTCTGGGTTCTTGTTCCTGCTGCGTATGGTGCACCAGGACCTCGTCTGCTCCGTGCCAGCTCCAGCTCCCAAAGGGGAAGGAGGTGCGGGCTGCTGCCAATTCTGTACACAGCTATTTTCCCCTGAAGGAGCAGATGCTTCAAAGCACCAAGGCATGGAGGTTACAAGTTCTGTTGACACAGAAAGCCTGGAAGAGGACTGGGAACTGCCACTGCTGAGCCCCAGCACCCCCCATGCTTCCGTGTCCTCATGCAGCCCTGTATAAGGCTGGGTGGAGGACTGACAGGTGAGGCACCTGAAGGGACTGTGCTCAGTGCCGGGCTGAGACACTTCCTCTCCACCCAGGCTTGTCCTGGGTGTCTGACTCTTAGAGGAGTCACTAGATCATTAGCACAAACCAGGTGTTACTTATAGCAGAGGAGAAAGAAATCCCTATTATTTCCTAGTCCCCGGTAGAGGGGGCACAATCCCCACGCCTGGCAAAACTAAGATCTTCCTGAATCTTTCTGAGAGAAGTCAGGGACAAGGCAAGACATGCAAGACAAAGACAAAAAGCAGCTAGGGGGACAGGGGGGAGGCACCTGGGGGCTGCAGAGAGAGGCCAGGGAATAGACCTGCCTCTCTGGCTGGCAGCAATCTTTCCCCCATTCTTCCACCCAGTTCTGGAATCACTACTCACCCAAGTAGGAGGCCTGGGGCGCTTCTTTCCCCAGAAGGTCCTGCAACTCTGAAACCCGTGGCTCATTCTCCTCTCCCTGGGAGAGATCTGGCGGGGCAGCTGGGTCATCTGTTCACAAAAACGGTAAAATATGTTTATCAGTGATCTGCTCCTGCCAGCACCCAGAGCAGGCCCAAAAGAGAGAAGGTGGAGGGATGCCAACAGGTCATGGCCTGTCACGTGTAAAGTGGAAGTTAAAAGAGAGGATAAGACAAATATAGGAGAAAAGCGAACGCATGTTATATCTGGTTCTGTGTGACAAACAGCCAGGTGAGCCCGATCCACATGTGGTAAGACGGCAAATCACGGTCAACTGGACGAGCTGCCCACAGGGCTGCTATGTGCAGAGGACCTCCCACCAACGATGGGGTGAGCAGAGGGATCTGATGTAGCTCCAAGTTCCCTGATTTTTTCCCCCTATTTTTAGTAGAGACAGGTCTTGCTCTTGCTTAGGCTGGTCCCAAACTCCTGAGCTCAAGTGATCCTCCTGCCTCAGCTTCCCAGGGTGTTGGGATTACAGGTGTGAGCCACCGCGCCAGGCCCCAGTTCCCTGATCTTATGGCAAGAGGTTGACTCTTGCTCAGAGTGAGAACCCCAAGTTCCCTGGTTGGGGGTGGGGAGGGTAAGTCTTACTCGGAGGCACTGAGACTCTGCAGTCCTCTTCAATGATGAACTCTCCATAGAAGCCAGTCTGGGCAGGGTCTAGGAGGGACCAGTCCTCTTCAGAGAAGCACAAGATCATGTCCTTGAATGGAGAAGCCCGATTCTGAAAGCACAGGAGAAGACGGGTGCTCAGTGCAAGGGCGAGGCAGTGCTAGTCTATTCAGGCTGCTACACACAGCACAGACTGGGTGGCTTATAAACAGCAGAAATTTATTTCTCACAGTTCTGGAGGCTGGAAGTCCAAGATCAAGGCAGATTGGGTGTTTGGTGAGAGCCTGCTTCTTGGCTCAAAGACAACTGTCTTTTCATTATGTCCTCATGTGGTAGAAGGGGCCAGGGAGCTTTCTGGGGCCTCTTTATAAGCACACTAATTCCATCATGAGGGCTCTGCCCATGAGACCTAATCACTGAGTGGGGCAAAGGCAATACAGAAACCTAAACATTTGTACTCCCACAACATGCTGAAATGAAAAGCAAATAAATAATTTAAATAAATTTTTTTAGGCCGGGCATGGTGGCTCACGCCTGTAATCCTAGCTCTCTGGGAGGCCGAGGAGGGCGGATTGCTCAAGGTCAGGAGTTTGAAACCAGCCTGAGCAAGAGTGAGACCCCGTCTCTACTATAAATAGAAATAAATTAATTGGCCAAGTAATATATAAAGAAAAAATAAGCCGGGCATGGTGGCATATGCCTGTAGTCCCAGCTACTCAAGGAGGCTGAGGCAGGAGGATTGCTTGAGCCCAGGAGTTTGAGGTTGCTGTGAGCTAGGCTGACGCCACGGCACTCACTCTAGCCTGGGCAACAAAGTGAGACTGTCTCAAAAAAAAAAAATTTTTTTTTAAAAGACCTAATGATTTCCCAAAGATCCTACCTCCTAATACCAGCACACTGGCGCTTAGGATTTCAACATATGAATTTTTGGGGAGACAAAAACATTCAGCCCATATCATCCTACCTTTAGCCACCCCCAAATTCATATCCTTCTTCCATGTAAAACACATCTATTCCATCCCAAGAGCCAAAAAAGTTTTAACTCATCCCAGCATCAACTCAAAAGTCTTAAGTCTAATGTCTCATCAAAGTATTATCTGAATCAGATATGGGTGAGACTCAAGGTATGAGTCTGGCTAAGACAAACTGCTCTGTAGCTGTGAACTTGTGAAATTGGTCACAAAAAGGAAAACATAAAAGAAAAATTTTCTGAAGTGGCCTGAGATGGCGACAGTTTGGACTTAGGGTAATAAAAACGAGGCCTATTAACAGAAGTCGAGCTCTCACTTGCAAGGCTGGGATTTGTCAAATATTTCACTGACTTGACTGATTACAATTTTGCCTATCAGAGGAAGCACTAAGGCAGGACGGAATTAATCATCCCTCTCCAGACCTTAAGATGCCTACATACTAGTTAATGTTTTACCCTATATAGGTTAGCCACATATTTGCTTTGTCTTATGTATAAAGTCATTTAGCGCCAATCAGAATTGTAAGAATGTCACCTCTGCTTCACTCTCCCCTTCTCTCTTTCTATGAACAGAAGGTAAAATTGCTGAGCCTCACCCAGCCTGCTCCGGGATGCATTCTCAGTTTGCGCTGAGTCTAAGTCTCTGGGTTTTAATCCTCATACTTGGCTCAGAATAAAACTAACTTTGATCTCTTTACGTCTATAGTGACTATTATTATTATTATTTTTTGAGACAGAGTCTCACACTTTGTTGCCCAGGCTAGAGTGAGTGCCATGGCGTCAGCCTAGCTCACAGCAACCTCAAACTCCTGGGCTCAAGTGATCCTGCTGCCTCAGCCTCCCGAGTAGCTGGGACTACAGGCATGTGCCACCAGGCCCGGCTAATTTTTTATATATATATGTGTGTATATATATATATATTAGTTGGCCAATTAATTTCTTTCTATTTTTATAGTAGATATGGGGTCTCGCTCAGGCTGGTTTTGAACTCCTGACCTTGAGCAATCTGCCTGCCTCGGCCTCCCAGAGTGCTAGGATTACAGGTGTGAGCCACCATGCCCGGCCTGTGACTATTATTTTGAATTCTGGTTTATATGTTCTTCCAACACACAATGGTGGCACAGGCATAGGATAGTAAACCTTCCCATTTCAAAAGGGAGAAATAGAAAACAGGTCTTAAGTAAGCCTGACACCTACAGGGCAACCATTAAACCCTAAGAGTTAAGGATAATCCTCTTCGGCCTAAAGCTCTGCCCTCCGGGCCTTCTGTGTCAGAGGTCCCACCTTCCAGGTGGAACAGGAGTTGGGTGGCTCTGCTCCTGGCTTTGGGTGTCCCCATACTTTAGGTGGTTCTGCATGGTGGCCCCACCTCTGTGCCTCTTTCAGAGGTCCAAGGCTCCCTTGGGCTGGAATTGCACTGATGACTATACCAGTCTGGGGGTGCAGGGGTGGCTGAAAGGGGACCCTTGGCTGTGGCCCCATGCTTGCTGGAGATCTTGCACTCTAGACCTGTGATGGGAGGAACAGTCTTGATGATTTCTGAATTGTCTTGGGAGTACTTGTCTTAGACAGTAGCTCCTAGCCTCAGTTTCGATTTCCTAATCAGATGATCATTCCGCTTCACCTCTTATGTTCGTTCCTCAACAGGCTCTCTCAACCTTTTTAACATAGACACAGTTCCAGATCTTTAAGTTGTGCTTCCCTTTTGGGGGACAATTCCATCTTTTTTTTTTTTTTGAGACAGAGTCTCGCTTTGTTGCCTAGGCTAGAGTGAGTGCCGTGGCATCAGCCTAGCTCACAGCAACCTCAAACTCCTGGGCTCAAGCGATCCTCCTGCCTCAGCCTCCCGAGTAGCTGGGACTACAGGCATGCGCCACCATGCCCGGCTAATTTTTTCTATATATATTAGTTGGCCAATTTCTTTCTATTTATAGTAGAGACGGGGTCTCGCTCTTGCTCAGGCTGGTTTCGAAGACAATTTCATCTTTAAATCATTTCTCTCTTTTCACATTTTACAAGCTGCAAACTTGCTTGGATATTTCCATAGCCAAATATCCAATTTCACTGCTTGCAAGTTCTACCTTCCTCAAACACTAGGGCATAAACACAATTCAGCCAAGTTCTTTGCCAATGTATAACAAGAACGGCCATTCCTCTAGATGCCAACAACATGTTTCTTGTTTCTACCTGAGACCTCATCAGAATAGCCTTTATGGTTCATATTTTTACCTACATTCTGTTCACAACCACTTCGGTATTCTTTAAGAAGCCTGAGACTTTCTCTACAGATCTCCTTTCTCTCTGAACTCTCACAAGAATTGCCCTTAACAGTCTGTTAGGCTGGGTGCAGAGGCTCACACCTGTAATCCTACCACTTTGGGAGGACAAGGCAGGAGGATCACATGAGGCCAGGAGTTCAAGACCAGCCTGAACAACATAGCAACACTTTGTCTCTACAAAAAACTGAAAAATTAGCCAGGTGTGGTGATGTACACCTGTAGTCCCAGCTACTCCAGAGGCTGAGCCAGGAGGATTGCTTGAGCATGGGAGTCAGAGGTTGTAGTGAGTTGTGATCTCACCATTGCACTTCAGCCTCACAACGAGGAAACAAACAAGCAAAAGTCTGTTCACAGCAATGCAGGCTTTTTCTAGCCTGCACTTCAAAACTCTTCCCATTATCCAGTTCCAAAGCTGTCTCCACATTTGTAGGTATTTGTTATAGCAGCACTTCCACTTCTTGGTACCAAGTTTCTTAGTCCATTTGGGGTGCTATAACAAAATACCACGGACTGGGTGGCTTATAAACAACAGAAATGTATTTCGCATAGTTCTGGAGCTGGGAACACTGGGAAGGCTATAATCAGGGCACCAGCATGTCCCGCTTCTGGTGAGGGTGCATTTCCTTCTTTATAGGTGGTTGTCATTTCATTATGTTCTCACAGGGCAGAAGGAGAATGGCAGCTCTCTTGGGCCTCTTTTTTCTTTCTCTCTCTCTTTTATATTCAATTTCTTCTTCACAGAATCTTGGACCTCTTTTATAAGGGCACTAATCCCATTCATCCCACCCTATAACCTAATCATCTCTGAAAGCCCCACCTTTTAATACCATCACTGTGGGGGTTAGAATTTCAACATATGAATTTTGAGGGAATGCAAACATTCAGACCATAGCACTAGGGGGAGGGGGCCAGGCTCCAGGGTCTATGCTGCCTCATAATTCCTACCCTGAGAACCACTTCACACCTATTTTGTTTGGCAGAATCCAGATAGTGGATGCCTCATGGGGTGGCCAAGGAAATGGCCACCAACAGGTCTTCCTATTCAGGCTGCACACCTGCAACTCCCATGGTGGGCTGCTGGGCAACGTCCACCAAATTGCCACTGTGCTCACCCTTCAGTGCAGAGATTCCATTTCTAGAGTTCACTTTGTACGTGTGCAATGTGAGGTCTCTATAAGTTCCTTCACTGCAGCCTTGTTATGACAGTTAAAGATTGGAAATAGGCCAGGTGGGGTTGCTTATGCCTGTAATCCTAGCACTCTGAGAGGCCAAGGTGGGAGGACTGGTTGAAGTCAGTAGTTCAAGACCAGCTTAAGCAACAGTGAGACCCTGTCTCTATTAAAAATATAAAAATGAGGCCAGCGAGGTGGCTCACGCCTGTAATCCTAGCACTCTGGGAGGCCGATGCGAGCGGACTGCTCAAGGTCAGGAGTTCAAAACCAGCCTGAGCAAGAGCGAGACCCCGTCCCTCCTAAAAATAGAAAGAAATTAATTGGTCAACTAAAAATATATAGAAAAAATTAGCCGGGCATGGTGGCGCATGCCTGTAGTTCCAGCTACCCAGGAGGCTGAGGCAGTAGGATCGCTTGAGCCCAGGAGTTTGAGGTTGCTGTGAGCTAGGCTGACGCCATGGCACTCACTCTAGCCTGGGCAACAAAGTGAGACTCTGTCTCAAAAAAAAAAACACACACATATATAAATTAGCCAGTCATGGTGGTGCATGCCTGTAGTCCCACCTGTTTAGGAGGCTGAAGTAAGAGGATCGCTTGGACCCAGGAGTCTGAGGTTGTAGTGAACTACGATGATGCCACTGCACTCTACCCAGGGTGATAGAGTAAGACTCTCTATATAAAAAAAAAGACT